CAGAGTGAGAGAGGGAGAGGTGAGGCAGAGTGAGAGAGAGGGAGAGAGAGAGAGAGGTGGGGCAGAGTGAGAGAGAGAAAGAGAGAAGTGAGGCAGAGTGAGAGAGAGGGAGAGGTAAGGCAGAGTGAGAGAGAGGGAGAGAGAGAGAGAGGTGGGGCAGAGTGAGAGAGAGAGAGAGAGAAGTGAGGCAGAGTGAGAGAGAGAGAGAAGTGAGGCAGAGTGAGAGAGGGAGAGGTGAGGCAGAGTGAGAGAGAGGGAGAGAGAGAGAGAGGTGGGGCAGAGTGAGAGAGAGAGAGAGAGAAGTGAGGCAGAGTGAGAGAGAGGGAGAGGTAAGGCAGAGTGAGAGAGAGGGAGAGAGAGAGAGAGGTGGGGCAGAGTGAGAGAGAGAGAGAGAGAGGTGAGGCAGAGTGAGAGAGAGAGAGAAGTGAGGCAGAGTGAGAGAGAGAGAGACAGGTGGGGCAGAGTGAGAGAGAGAGAGAGATGAGGCAGAGTGAGAGAGAGAGAGAGAGAGAGAGATAGACAGGTGGGGCAGAGTGAGAGAGAGGATGGGTGAGGCAGAGTGAGAGAGAGGGAGAGGTGAGGCAGAATGATAGAGAGAGAGCGAGGTGAGGCAGAGTGAGAGAGAGGGAGAGGTGAGGCAGAGTGAGAGAGAGAGGTGGGGCAGAGTGAGAGAGAGAGAGGTGGGGCAGAGTGAGAGAGAGAGGTGAGGCAGAGTGAGAGAGAGAGAGACAGGTGGGGCAGAGTGAGAGAGAGGGAGGGGTGAGGCAGAGTGAGAGAGAGGGAGAGAAGTGGGGCAGAGAGAGGGAGAGGTGAGGCAGAGTGAGAGAGAGGGAGAGAGGTGGGGCAGAGTGAGAGAGAGGGAGAGGTGAGGCAGAGTGAGAGAGAGAGAGAAGTGAGGCAGAGTGAGAGAGAGAGAGACAGGTGGGGCAGAGTGAGAGAGAGAGAGATGAGGCAGAGTGAGAGAGAGAGATGAGGCAGAGTGAGAGAGAGAGAGAGAGAGGTGGGACAGAGTGAGAGAGAGAGAGAAGTGAGGCAGAGTGAGAGAGAGGGAGAGGTAGATTGAGAGAGAGAGAGAGAGAGATAGACAGGTGGGGCAGAGTGAGAGAGAGAGAGAGGTGGGGCAGAGTGAGAGAGAGGATGGGTGAGTCAGAGTGAGAGAGAGGGAGAGGTGAGGCAGAATGATAGAGAGAGAGAGGTGAGGCAGAGTGAGAGAGAGGGAGAGGTGAGGCAGAGTGAGAGAGAGAGGTGGGGCAGAGTGAGAGAGAGAGGTGGGTCAGAGTGAGAGAGCGGGAGGGGTGAGGCAGAGTGAGAGAGAGGGAGAGAGGTGGGGCAGAGTGAGAGAGAGGGAGAGGTGAGGCAGAGTGAGAGAGAGGGAGAGAGAGGTGGGGCAGAGTGAGAGAGAGAGAGAGAGAAGTGAGGCAGAGTGAGAGAGAGGGAGAGGTGAGGCAGAGTGAGAGAGAGAGAGAAGTGAGGCAGAGTGAGAGAGAGAGAGAGAGAGAGGTGGGGCAGAGTTAGAGAGAGGGAGAGGTGGGGCAGAGTGTGAGAGAGGGATGGGTGAGGCAGAGTGAGAGAGGGAGAGGTGAGGCAGAGAGAGAGAGAGAGAGAGACAGGTGGGGCAGAGTGAGAGAGAGAGAGAGGTGGGGAAGAGTGAGAGAGAGAGATAAAGGTGAGGCAGAGTGGGAGAGAGAGAGAGAGGTGAGGCAGAGTGAGAGAGAGAGAGAGAAAGACAGGTGGGGCAGAGTGAGAGAGAGAGAGGTGGGGAAGAGTGAGAGAGAGAGAGAGGTGGGGAAGAGTGAGAGAGAGAGATAAAGGTGGAGCAGAGTGAGAGAGAGAGAGAGAGAGAAAGACAGGTGGGGCAGAGTGAGAGAGAGAGAGAGGTGGGGAAGAGTGAGAGAGAGAGATAAAGGTGAGGCAGAGTGGGAGAGAGAGAGAGAGAGAGGTGAGGCAGAGTGAGAGAGAGAGAGAGAAAGACAGGTGGGGCAGAGTGAGAGAGAGAGAGAGGTGGGGAAGAGTGAGAGAGAGAGAGAGAGGTGAGGCAGAGTGAGAGAGAGAGAGAGAAAGACAGGTGGGGCAGAGTGAGAGAGAGAGAGAGAGGTGAGGCAGAGTGAGAGAGAGAGAGAGAAAGACAGGTGGGGCAGAGTGAGAGAGAGAGAGAGAGGTGAGGCAGAGTGAGTGAGAGAGAGATAAAGGTGGAGCAGAGTGAGAGAGAGAGAGAGAGGTGAGGCAGAGTGAGAGAGAGAGAGAGAAAGACAGGTGGGGCAGAGTGAGAGAGAGAGAGAGAGGTGAGGCAGAGTGAGTGAGAGAGAGATAAAGGTGGAGCAGAGTGAGAGAGAGAGAGAGAGGTGAGGCAGAGTGAGAGAGAGAGAGAGAAAGACAGGTGGGGCAGAGTGAGAGAGAGAGAGAGAGGTGAGGCAGAGTGAGTGAGAGAGAGATAAAGGTGGAGCAGAGTGAGAGAGAGAGAGAAGTGAGGCAGAGTGAGTGAGAGAGAGATAAAGGTGGAGCAGAGTGAGAGAGAGAGAGAGAGAGCGAGACCAAAATGTCCCACCAGAGAAGTCCCACAGAGCTCTCCGAATCTCTTTCTCACGGGCCCCGGGGGTCCAGGAAGAAGTAGGTTTTGGGGCCAATATTGCACATGTCTTTAGTGGTGTGGGAAAGCAGAGCACCAGGAGCAAACCTTCGCAAACACAGGGAGAACATGCAAACTCTATACTGCTTCGAACAGAGCCTGGAGCAGACCGGGAAGAGACCAGCTTCACACAACTGCATTTGTTATTTTAATTAGAATCTGAAGAAGTGTGAACGATTAGAAATGTCAGATGAGTCATGTATCGTACGACAAAGTAGAAACAAAGCTCTCGACGTTCACCCATGTACCCAGTATTTTATTTTTATTTTTGTACCAACTGTCAAATAAGAAACATTCCTTTTCAACGTTGACAGCCGCGATAAGCCGAGGTGGCGTCTTTAAGAGTTACATCAGCGCCTGTCTGGCTCCAGCAGCAGATACGGGGCTAAAGTTAATATTTATGTCTGATATGTGTCACTTTGAATGAGGGCTGAGGCGCACAGGCAGCACACAGATACTTCTCCATCAAAGGGGTTTAATCTCATGCTAACACTGCGCTGGAAAAGGCTGAACCATAATTATCTTTTCAAAATGTTTAAAGTGAGATATGATAATGTTACGGTGGATGCTTTTCTTTGCAGACGTCTGTTGTTGTTGTTTGTGGAAGGATTTGACACAGAAAGTTAGCGGTTCAATCTCAGCTCCGACCTGTACACTACGGCAGTTATGTCCTAGAGCAAGACATCTATGCCCCTTTTATTTCCGTAGCAGTTGTTTTGGTTTAAGGATTCAAGATTAATCGCAGCATAATTGAAATTGCAAATGAAATAATCACTTTTTTGTTTTGATCCTGAAAACTACCCGCTCACCCGCTCTGGAGAGTAGCTTCAGTGACAGACTTATTCACCCTGTGCGAAGGAGAGGTTCTGCAGGTCTCTCCTTCCTGCTGCTGTCAGACTGTACAATGAGAACTGCTCAGCCTGTACATGACATTCATCTTTAAAAAGTAAAGTAAAAGTGTAATCATGTGCAATCCTGCCATTTCAGAATGTCACCGTCAACTTACTACTCTGCCCTTTATTTACACTAGATATAGAGATAGATAGATTGAAATTTCCCCACTGTGGGACAAATAAAGTTATCATTATCTGAAACACATTTTTCCTTGGATAAATTCATTTTTTTTTTTTTATCCCTGAATATTTCAGATCCCAGGTCACATTTTGCCTCTGCAGACTTCCACACTAATGTAACTGTAACTAAAAAATATATTTAAAAAACAGCCAATGCCACGAGAGTTTAATTGTCAATGTTATTATAGACTGAGATTTGTAGTTTTATAAATTGATTGTTTACATAATCTGAAACTTAAATGTGTATATGAGGTTTCTCCCAAATTTTTGGATAGAACTGCGATCTTTACAAAACCGTTGACCGCCGACAAATGTGGCCAAACTAAGCCAGATCCCATCAGTCCTCTGAAGCTGTGCATGGCAGGGCCTGGTAAGTGCTGTGATGGGAGACCTCCGAGAACACCAGGTGACACAGTGGACCGGCTGTAAGTAGTATCACCACCGTGTATGCAGTGAGAATAATCACATGTGAAGTGTCCTGTAAAGCGTTATATAAAATTGGTTAATTGGTCCGTAAGGGGTTGTTGAGTGTTTTGGATCATCACCACTGTCCTTAGACCTTCCTGCATCGGCAAAGACCATTTATGCCAATGCTAACTTCCTGTAGAGTACTTCCTTCCTTACATCCTTAAAGAGCGACTAAACACCTGTGCCCAGCCTTACTCCGCCCACATGAAGATTTGAAAATGTTCTCTAAAAAGGGCGTTGCCTGGAGGACTAAGGGACAAGAAGGGGGGCTTAGAGCTGGGCGTGGTCTAGGCTGTGATTGACAGCTCACTTGTCTCACTAAAAAAAACAGACAGTTGTCATTGCTGCTTAAAGCAATAGTTTACAGACCAGAAAGTCTCATTCCACCCTTGTTTACACACTAAGATAATTGTGAAGCTACACACCTGAACCTAATCACACTCAATAATCTCAGAATGACTCATGTAATTTAATTGTAATCCACTAGATGGCGCCAGAATACTCCAAACTGCAGCTAGGGCGTGTGTGAGAGTTGAATGGGTTCACATCACTGGCTCTGACAGACTGACGTCACACAAAACAACTGATGTCATAGAGAACTTCAGAGTCAATGGAGAGGCCAGAACCAAATTCAAATGTAGTACCACCAAAAAGGTTGAGAGGGCGCCACACAGACGTTTTTTGGCTCAAAAGTTATATTTTATCTAATTTGAACTAAAATGTCAAAAAAATGACCAGGATATGTAGACAGCACTACAATAAACATACTTATGCAGTTTATGAGTTAAAAAAAGTTGATTTGGTGTTTAGTCGCTCTTTAAATACTATAACAGTCACTGCGTCTCTTTCTCGTGAATCCGACAGACCGTGGTTGTTACAGCTGCCACTTCCTGCAGGAAAAGCACTCGTAAACACAGAAGCGATTGGTTTGTCTCTGGTGCGTTTGAAATCCATGAGATCAGGGCCTCGCTCGGATCATGGCGGCTCTCGAAGCGGCTCCTCAGCAGAGCATCGACCTGCCATCTGTCACGGTAAGTACATGTGTAGCTCCTGCTCACGTCTTCACTCATCCGGTCAGATACTGGTGCTGGGATCAATATCACATTCACAGCACTTTGTCAACAGACACATTTTTGTCTTTTATTTCTCAAAAGCAGATGCACTTTATGGGTTAAACTAAACCATTTCCACCTTCTTTGCTCTAGAGTATACACGTTTAAAGTGTATGTGAAGACCTTATTATACCGTAGATATGTAGTGTGTAGATATGTTTTACTCAAGCCCCGGTGATCCAAGATGGCGTCCTGTTCAAATGAATGGCTTGTGCTCAGTAGTTCATGGACTTCACGGAGACCGGGAGATTAGCAGAACTCGCCCATATTTGGGCATCGTCTGGTCGTCCCGCTTCTGTGCAGTGGACGAGCTCCCATGATGCTTTGCACCAAATACGCTTGTGTGGCTCTCGTGCACGTGCACAGAGGGGCTCGGCCGCGCTCTGACCAATCAGAGCTGATCAGAGCGGAGTCAGAGCGGGAAGGAAAGGAGCAGAGTTTGCGGCAGTAAAGTGTGGATTTAAAGAAAACCAAAGGATTTAAGAAGAAAAAAACTTCAGGATGACAAGGGAAACTAACATCCCCACAAAATACGATCTTTATGAAAGCTGTAGGTTCTCTGTCAGGTTCTCTGTCAGGTTCTCTGTCAGCTGAGGTCAAGCTGTTTTAGTTTACATTGAGTTCTATTGGACTGTTTTCTGTGTAGCCCAAGTGAATTTAGTCTGCAGTACCACAGCGCCCCCTGTGGCCATGGGTGGGACAGCCATGGCCAAGTAATACACTATCCAGTTATTATTATAGATCCATGGCTATACTTCACTTGTCTTATATTGTGTTGTGTGCTCCTCATTCCAACTGTTCCCTGACATCAGCCTTAGCGACATAAGGATGGGTCAAATGCAGAGGATGAATTGTCCTATGGGAATTAATTAAAGTGCACCTTTACCTGTTCTCAAGGGGAAAAAGCATTGTTCATCTTAATTTTAGTAAACAAGTTATGTATTAGTTATG